CTTTTTTTTTTTTTTTTTTTTTTTGGTACCAGGGATGGAACTTGGGAACTTGTGCTTGCAAAGCAGGAGGCAGAACCACTGAGCTAAATCTGTGGCCCAGCACAACTCTTTTAAAGGGGAGAAAATAGAGGAGAGAGGAGAAACAAAGCAGAAGAAGGGAGGGAGCAGGGAAGTAGGAAAATAATAATAGCTGTGACCTAATATGGGCAGGTCAGTGGACGAGGTGTTTTTCCATTCATCATTTCTCTATTCCTAGTAACAATTCTGGAAAGTATGTATTATGATACTCTCTGTGCCCCCTTTTTTTAAAAATTAAAAAATTGAGGGTTATTGTGCAGTACTTCCCAATAGGTATGTCCAGTTGCCTAATCAGTATTTCTTTTTTTAAATTAAGTTTATTGGTAGTTTTTAGGTATACAGTACAGTTACATTTATCTTTGGGATCTTGTACGTTTACATGATGTATCTTGGTTCTTATTTTTTCCCATGGCCCTTTCCTCCCTTAATCCCTCCACCCTTCCCAATTTACAAAACCTGTTTCCATTTTTTCCTTTTCTCATACTTTTTTCCTTCCCCTTCTTTCCTTTCCCCTACATTTCCCCCTTCTCTAATCCTTTACCCTTTTCTCCCATTTCACATTATTAATTATACAATTTGAAACTTATTTACACTTGCCTAATTAGGATTTCTACCTGATTGCCTTCTAAGTATCTATTTCCCCCACAAACACACCCTTTTCTTTCTCCCATTGTTCATCAACCACCTAAGTGGCAGCACCATAAATCTCAGTATTCAAGGGAGCACCTTGGGATTCATCCTTTAACCTGCTATGATCTGGCCCTACCTACCCCTCCAGCAGCAAAGCTTTCGGTGGTCTCCTAGGTTTTATCTCAGCAATACCCTGAGCAAACCCCTGAGAATCCTAGGCTGTTTCTATGCTGGAGTAAATACTTTCTCGGTCTGAAATGGCCTAGATTCTTCACCTTCTATCCTCACAGTCATATTCCCCTCCCTGACTTAATTCCTTCAAGCAAAATTAACCACTGTTTCCTCTGTGTCTTTCTCCACCTCAGGGCACATGGTTGTTGATATAATTACCTTCCTTTATTAGACTACAAAGTCCCTGAGGTTAGGTATTGAGTGTTATAATTTCTATAATTTAGACACAAGATATTATTGCTATTATGAACAGTAATAATTGTAATACATTAACTATGTGCCAAGCTCTTTTCTCAATCTCATGTGTATTATTGACTCTGAAAATCTTATGGGCAGGTATTATTGCTATCATAGTTTTACAAATGAGGGAACAAAGATATAAAATAGCATCCTTATGTATATGTTGCATGAAAGAATGTTCCTATAGTAGGAGTTCTACAAATAACTTCCTGTTTCACAATACCATGTCTCTCTACAATCACTGCCTCACACAAGCCAGGCTTACAAAATGAGATATATTGACATGGGACCATTTAGATATGTGTACACAACTCCTTACATGTTCCTTAGAAAAAGAATCACTTTATCTTTTGGTTCTTCGGTTTCTTAACGTATAAAATTTGTGGAATAATACTCAATATGTAATCTTCACTACTCCAAACAAGGTTATTTTCAGTAATAAGGAAAAATTTTAGATTCAAGTATGTGAAAGCATTGGATTGTTCATATCAAAAATAAATGCATATTTGTGATGTGTAGATGAGGATGTACACATAACTAGTAAAATTTAGAGTATACATTACAATTCGCTATCTAGGCTAGTTGTGTCATTCGTCATCACAATTTCCCTCAATCTGGAAAAGTTTCTCAAGAAAACTTGTCAATTTATAGATTGCTAAACAGTTTATATTCTTTTGAAAGTTTTTCTGGTTAAGTAATTTAACACCTACATTTTTTTTGTCTGCCTCAACTGCTTTTGTGTAGAAAACATGATCTCAGATAGCAAATTCGGGTTTTGAAACATAAATTATTGAACCTTGGTAAAAACAAACTCAAAATTCTTTCCCTTCCAATCTTCCATCCATTTCATAAATAAACCATGCTGACCACTTGTGCTAAATCAAGACCCATGGTAGATATCGGGGGGGGGGCAAATAAAAACATCCATTTTTACCAAGAGGCTCCTATGGGAAAGCCTTTGGCTTCATAATACTCAACCTATAGACTACCACATTTTTCTCTGAGTCTTTTAGAGATGGTTTTCGTCTCGCTCAAACTAGCACTCAAAATGATTCAGGGAGTTGGGAATTTTTCTTTATAATTCTTTTTGTATTTTATAATCAGAATGTGGCTAATGTTGTCTACGTCAGAAGAAATACTGTGAAGGAGAGTGGATAATGGGCACTGAATGTTGAAATCAGTTTCCCTCCCTAGGAAGTGCCACAAGCTCTCTTGTTTAGCTGGCTTAAGAAATAAAGCCAAAGAGCAGTCAATGGTATCTTCAACTCCTTCCTGTCTACCCTAAGCCCAAGAAAGACTGCTTGAAGCAACCACCTATACTTTCCTCTATATACCTCAAAAACCAGATGGTGAAGATAAGAATCAAATTATGCCTCAAACTCAAGATAGGTAGTTGAGAAATGTGCAGACACTGCAAGTGTCAAGGCTCACAAAGTGAAGTTCTTCTCTTTCCTTCTTCCTCTTCATCCTTCTGCTTCTTCTTTTCCTCCTGAAAGCCTACTCACAAACTGTCAGGATGGAGCCCAATCCTGAGTGCTGGAGAGGAGGAGGAAAAGATCCAGTAAGAGGATTCCACCATCCCAGATCCAAGTATAAAGACAAATTTTTTTATTTTAAAAAAAAGAAAGAACACTTGAAGAGCTTGATCTGAGGAGAATATGGGACAGAATAGGGTAAAGCAAGAGAGGGAGGACAACGGAGAAGAGTTAGAGGCCCAGCTGCCCTGGGAATGGGAGAGAAGTCATAAACAATAAAATCTGCATCCTTAAGTCACTGTTGTTCATTGAACAATAAAAACGTTTCTGAAGGGCCAGGGATTTAGCTCAGTGGTTCCATCACCTGCCTCACAAGCGAAAGGTCCCAAATTCAATCCCCAGTACCAAAAAAAAAAAAAAAGTTTCTGAGATCAGTGCATTGCTCAGACCTAGAAAGTATAGAATTGTCCTTTTCATCCACATTTTTTCATGCTTTGGTGTTCCCCAGAGGGCATATTCCCTGTAGGAGTTCAGCTAGAATCAAACCTCTTGCCTTTCTGTTCATATCATATCAGTGCTAATTTCCGCACCTGTCCCAGAGGGCAGCACTAAGTTTACTGCTAGGATAGGATAAAGATATGCTGGAAAAGGAAATCTAGCTGAGATGAGAAAAACTGAAAAGAGATTGTGAGAACAGACTTAGTTTACAATAATTGGACACAATTAGATATGCCTTCACATCTCTAACCATCAATTTTCTCACTTTTTTCCTTTTCAGAGATACTGTTCACAGAATTGTAAAATACAGTAAGATGCAGAGGTGTCTTACAGTTATATTAATGAATCTAAGCTTTAGTCCTTTTTCCAAGACTCTAGGAAGAATAAAATAATGTGATTTTCTTTGAGAGGGTCCCCATAGTTTAAAGCGTCAGTCTCTACAAAACATGTATCAGCCACTGATGAGAATTTGGCTTATAAAACACAAATTCTGCTGTGTATGAATGAAGTTTTAACAATGGCTATTATTTTTAGCAATAGCAGCTAGGAAAACTATGAACTTAAAGTTAAGATCTTTTCTCACAATAGGTGTGAAGGTCATGCTCCATTTTCCTAGTATCCCTTGTTCCTATACATATAAATAAACCAAGTTATAAAAAGTAGTAACTGAATTTCTTGCTCACATTCAAAAGAATGCTTACCTTTGCCTTAGGGATAACCAATGGTGCAGGACCACATAGCCAAGGTTTGAAATTCTCCTGACACAGCATTATTTTGTACAAGTTCTAACAGGCCTGCTAACTTCCATGAGTTAAGTTGTGCCTCCAGCTACTAATTTTATGAGCAAAGAGCTTGGCCTCTGTGTGTGTGTGTGTGTGTGTGTGTGTGTTTGCATGTGTTAGGCATAGGGGCGT